TACTGGAAAAGTAAGAAGACACCAACAATCCAGGAGCTATGGTTCTTGTAGAACAATAATCAGATCCCGGTCGTGAAAGCCTTCAAGAATACAATCCAGGAGCTAAGAGAAAAAGTTTTTGAGGTAGCCGAGACGGGTATTTTAATTGAAGTATGAAAGGATAAAGAAATGGTTAAGGCTAGATAAAAATGGGAACCTTTGTATAATTGGATGAGAAACAAGAACATGAATGGGTCAACATTCTAAGAATGAAGACTTAAGATATAAATGTATATCTTAAAGGCTTAGGAAAAAACCTGGTAAGATTAGATTGAAGTAAGCTTAGTAAGAAATTATATAGGTAAAAGTAATAATGATACAAATTGTTCTCTGCTGCATTTTGTACAGTGGTACCTTAACTTCCGAACGTCCCTACTTACGACCATTTCGAATTACAACCAGCTCCGGCCGCAAAATTTCGCTTCTACTTGCAACCGGAGCTTCCACATATGAACAGAAAAAGGCAGGGGGAAAGGTGGGAAATTCAAATTTCTAACCGTAGGAGGCAACGAGAGAGAGAGAGAGAGAGATAAAGATAATATTGTACACAGTGTCACAATGCTTCAGTGGCAGAAACACCAGATCCATAAGTCTCTAGAAGATTGTAGCTCCATCATGCAGCCCAAAACGCAAGTACATAAAATGGAAAAGGTATTTAGATGTACAGTGGTGCCTCACTTAACAACGATAATCCGTTCCAGGAAAATCGTCGTTAAGCGAAAACATTGTCAAACAAAATTAAAAACCCCATTGAAACGCACTGAAACCCGTTCAATGCGTTCCAATGGGGTAAAAACTCACCATCCAGCAAAGATCCTCCATACAGCGGCCATTTTCGCTGCCTGAATAGCGAGGAATCCGTCCCTAAACACAGAGGGGAGCCATTTTAAGCACCCGGCAGCCATTTTGAAATCGCCAATCAGCTGTTAAAAAACACACTGTTTTGCAAAGAATCGGTTCCCGAAGCAGGGAACCAATCATCGCAAAGTGAAAAAGCCCTATTTAGACCATCTTTTTGTGATCACAAAAAGATCGTCGTACAGTGATTTCATCGTAATGTGGGGCAATCGTTAAACGAGGCCCCACTGTACAGCAGTAAATACAGTGGTGCCTCGCTTAACGACGAATCCGCATAGTGATGGATTTTTTGCGATCGCAAAAGTGATCACATTGCGATGATTTTAATGGTAAAAATCGCTTTGCGATTATTGGTAAGCTGTTTCGGTTACCGATTTTCGCATAGCGATGTTTTAAAAACAGCTGATCAGCTGTTCCAAAATGGCCGCCAGAAAAAAATGGCCGCCCACTGTATTTTTGCGCTGATTCCTCGCATACCGGGCAGTGAAAATGGCGGCCGTATGGAGGATTTTCGCTTAAAGGTGAGTTTTAAGCCCACAGGAACGCATTAAACGGGGTTTAATGAATTCCTATGGGCTTTTTCTTTTCACATAGCGACGAATCCGGATAGCGACGATTTTTCCGGAATGGATTATCGTCGCTATGCGGGGCACCACTGTACTACCCTTTCCTTGTTTATAGGGACAAGGAGAATTTGCCAATAGCCTTTGACAAGGTCCAAATTCAAAGGAATTTGGCTTCTCCCAACTGTTCTAGCTATATATTAACCCTTCACACAGGATGGGTATTTAGAAGTGGTGTTAATTAGCCAGAAATCAATACTAAACCAAACACTGCCACCAGGTTTGAGAACCAAAACCTCCTGACTCTACCAAGGGCCGATACAGAGCTCTATGACTCCCAGCTATAACATTATTTCTTCCTCAATCACTTGTTTAAGTTGCTGAAGCTAGTCTCTACTTGGAGTTCTAACTACTGCTCCAGGTTCTGTGTCAATCCAGTCGGTTAATACTATGGAATGCTCCAAAGAAGAGGAAAATTTGTCCTTAAACTCTTGCTATGAGCTCCTTATCTAGTCTGTGTATGAGGGTGAAATGTTCTCCCAAAACTAATCATGTTATCTGTGCCCCAGGGTGTTCTTCCAGCACCTAGAAGGTGATCTTCAAGCCTTCTCCACAAAGAAGACTTCTCTCTTCTTCCACTCTTTCAGGAGACTGACATAGAATACCTGGGGGATTTCCAGCAACCCGGCATTCAAATTTTATAATCAACCAGCCCTACTTCATTTGGTCCTTTCCATACTGCAGGTTTGGCCTGGGAGGAAGGCAGCAAGAGAACCCACTGCCAAAAGTTAAAGACCCAGCAGTCATACCACCATTTTTGTGTTGTCTGTGCAAGGGATTCTTAAGCTAATTGGGTGGCCTCTCATAAACACTCCCTCATGTCCAGCTCATGTTGTGCTACTGTGCTGGAATTGTCTTCTCCCTCTTCCCATTTCTTTAGACTAGATTTAAGACTCTCTTTGGATGCCATCCATAAAATAATTCAAATGGGCACCTCCCATACTGCAAACATTAAGGAGTTGAGCAACAAATGCCATGAAAGAGATAAAAAGCAACCAGCTTATGGAGCATCCCCTTAAGGGTTCAGTTCAACTGGTCTGCTAGCCCAGTGGTTCTTAACGTGGGCGATAATGCCCCCCAGGGGGCAATTTCATTTTTCAGGGGGGCGATAGAACGAAAAGGGGCGGCGTGGGGGTGC